CAAATTATTTCAAACTTTGAATTTTGACTAAATACGTAAAAATTACGGTAATGTTCAAATTATCTTAGATAGAAATTCATAAAAGTTTTTCTTTTTAATTATAAGATTTGAAAATTTAATACAAGGCTCCTAACATATTTTTACAATAGCAGGTGAAAAATAAAATAAATATGTTAGCACAATTTGTTTTACAAGCATTCAAAGTTTGAATTTTGACAACATGACAATTGTGTAAAAAATCACGAAAATTCGCAAATTATTTTAAGATAGAAATTCATAAAAATGTTTCTTTTTAAATCTAAGGTTTGAAAATTTTTCATAATCTATAATATATCATAGACAGATAAACCGTCTTCGCTCAGAATCGTTTTTCGTATACAATGATATAATATTATTGGATTCAAATTTAATTCCATCCATTACAGTAACCCACTTGTAACCTACTGTACAGCAGAGCTACATCCACGACTTACCCGCCTTTTTTTATCTATAAATATCGATAAAAATTTATTTGTTGAGTAGAAAAGTTTGAAAATTTAATACTATGCAACTTACACATTATTAAGGTAGCAGTTGAAAAATATTAAAAATACATAGGCATGAATTTTTTTTAAGCATTCAAAGTTTGAATTTTGACAACATACGTAAAAATCATGAAAATTCGCAAATTATTTTATGCTAGAAATTCATAAAAAAATTTCGTTTTGTATCTAAGAATAAAATCTATGCATCAAGTTTCCTTTTTTGAATACTAGGCGTAATATTTATATTAAGTACATAATTTATGACATTTATCTATTTGAATATAACTATTGGCTTATGAGGTAATTATTGCAATTGACACGAGTTCACTGTGTGAATGCATCAAAGAAATATTGCCTATAAACACGTTTTATGACCGATTTTCATGAATTAATTCAGAGAGGGATTTTATGTTTTATGTTGTAGGATTGTATTCACACAAATTAACTCATATAAATCTGTTGGTGAGTTTTTAGAAATTTAAGTTTCACCGCCTGTTATTGAAAGCAAATTAATTTGTTTTACCCAATAGTTACTGGATGTCTGGATACAATATTTTATAAATTAATAGTCAAATAAAAATTGTTGCAAATAATTGTTAGCTCATTATTTTTTGTTAGGCATGATTAGATAATTTTTATTTTTTATTTATGGTGGAAAATTAAAAAAATATATATGCATAATGTTGTTATCAATACCTTGAATTCAAATTCATATAGATTGGTCTATTAGCTAATTACAATAAATCATCGTTCATATATGTTCATTAGAAAATAACATTAGATATAAGAACAGTTTTCTAAATTATTGTTCGYACATTATTTTTTGTTGGGCATGATTAGATGATTTTTATTTTTTATTTATGGTGGAAAATKTAAGTGTCTGGAAAGTTTTTAATACGGTGATTAGTTTGCAGAGTGCAATGAAATATCAATCTGAGTTAAAATTTTAAGTTTTCGTAYCAGTCAGTTTTAATATTTTTGAAATGTTCATAACTTTTGGAAAGTACGATTCAAAGTTTTAGGAAACCTTGCAGAAAGGTCAATGAATATTATGCCAAAATGTATCCATGCAATTAATAACCGAAAAAAACATTTTATTCCTCAAATTAAAACTATAATGCATTTTAGACACACGTATAAGTTTGTATGCTGGAAATTGACGTATAGGTATTTTAAGTTTTTGTATTATTCTTAACGGCTGAAACCTTGATCGTTGAATGTATCTAAAACACTAACATGATTTCTTTTTATTGAAAAATTTATTCATTGACTTATTAATATGTCTTATATTAATGAAAATTGTAGAATGTTTAACTATCTTTCGATGTATCACGTGTTTGCGTGTAATGTCTATTGCGGTCGTCTGTCCTCGTTTCCAAGTTTCGTTTAACTGTAAAACAACTTGGTTCTGTATGTCGATTAAAGCGCCGCAGTAAATGGTTTTTGTGAGTAAACTTTTAATGGAATATAAAAAAATAACATAAACATTATTATATATTTTTATACATAGAAGTATAGAACTCATTACTCATGGAGTATCATTTACTAAAATTTGATATCTGATACGACGTGGCTCATTTAATCGTGTACCACAACTACTCGATAAATTTTAAATTGTACTGCAATAATTTGATTAATTTTTTCACGGTGTTTTGGATAAACATTAAGTTTCTGATGTGTAAAATTTGTGAGTTTTGTGAAAAAACCATTACCTACCTATACAGGCTTCAAGTTTTTCACTTTGACAGTTGTAAATTTACTTAAAATTATTTTATTAGCCTTTTTCACAAAAATGTCCTAAAGCCAAACTTTTTATAATAATTACGTAGCTACAACTATTGAAAATATTACAGACGTAACTTACTAWTGATAATTTGTCTGTATTTCTTATTATTATAAGTTTTACTTTTGAATACCTCTCTATCTTATGAATGAAACTTATTTTATTTTGTYATATTTGACAACTCTTAACTACCTACCATATTTTTTGATGCTTTATTTTATTTTATTACATTATTTTTGGTACCTATTTAACTATTTATTAGTAGTTGAAATGTATATTACTCTAATATTATGCAATACACTAATACACATGTATATCAACTACTCGTGTGTTTATGGGCAACCTTTTTACCAAATCTATGTCTTCGAGGTATGCACATATTATTTTATATCATTTGATACATCGTTTTCGTGTTTTTTGACCGTCGATTTCGTTTAAAATCACCTTAACGGTCGATTTTTTCAATGTTTTCATGTTTATGATTTTAAAAAACACGAAACTACGCTGTGCTACATCAGATATTATCTTCGGTAATATAAGGTTATACTTTTTGTCGTTTCTTCAGTAACCAATTATTTAATATATTTATTTTTTTTTCATTATTAGGTATGTATCTCTTATTATGGTTAAAACTTGTAATATGATTGTCCTGCTGTTACGTTTGAAAATTTTAGTATATACCTACTAACAAGRCGTCTTTTTAGAGATTTCTTTTGAAAACCAGTCAACGTTCTAAGACAATGGATATTTACGTAAACGATATTTTCTCGAAATAATTACTTTATTCTTTATGGTATCCGTTTGGAATTGAATTTCGTAGCTACCGGTTCGTTGTACCGCCACTGCAATTCGTCTCGTAACTTGTTAAAACCAAAACGGCTGGTTACATGATAAAGACTAAAGATGGGTACTCAAAAGTAAAACACATAGGGGAAGGTAAACGACGTCATTATTGTACAATAATTATGTCAAAAACATAAAACGGCTTTGAACGTCCGACGCGAGCGTTCCAATGACCAAATTATGAGTGATAATAATAATAATAATATAATAAAATATAACTACGACAACGTTGAAAACCGTTGTAATTTATGACTTTCGTGGTGTTTGGTATGCGTCTAATTGGAGCAGTTGGCACTTTGATCATCGAAGTTAACGAGCATAATATTTTTTCGGCGTAATGGAAAATAGTTTGAAAAAAATAACCATCGGACATAAAAATACGGAGTACCTATATATAATCGTTAAATGATATTTTTTAATATAAAATAATACAATATTATGTATAGTATATCGTATGTTATATCTTAAAATGTTCTCATGTGTGAGTTATTACAAAGTGCATTGACTGAGGCACTGTGGCAGTCTATTTTTAATGTGACACACTACGCGCATTCGGACTCGGTTAAGTATTATCATTATTATGATTTTATATTTTTTTGGCGTTTGTTAATGGCCCAAACACAGTTGTTCGGCCGTCGTCG